AGTGCTGGGATTACAGGTGTGAGTCACCTGTAATGAAAAAAAAATTTAATGGAAATTTTTAAAAAGCCAAAAATACTTTAAGGCTTCAAATTACTTCTCACCATTGATGTCCCTGTGTTCAGTCCCTAGCCTTGGCAGAGCGGGTGTTAGGCCGGGCAGGTGGATCTAGGGGGGAAGGGTCACTGCCATTCCCATCCCTGTAGCACTGGAGGTCGGAGTGCACAGGTGGGGGATGGGGAACACACACGCAGCCGAGGATCCCTGAGGATGCACCTGGTGACACCTCAGCTGTGGCTGGAGGGGACTTGTGGGGACAGAGACCTCGAGATGGGCAGGGACAGGGAGTCCAGGTCTCTTCTTTGCTCCAAGCAGAGGTTCTGACCAGAGGTGATCCCACCTATGTCTGGGGATGTGTGGCTGTCACCCCAGGGGAGGCCTGGCATGGATAGGTGGGAACTAGGACACTGCTCAGCCCCTGCTGTGCCCAGGACGCCCAGGGCACACCTGGCCCCAGCGTCATGGTGCCCTGGCTGAGAGACTTCAGGCTCTACCATCTATTCTGCTGAGGAGCCCACGAGGGGCTCAGGAGGCGGAAACTGAGTTAAGTGCAAAGGTCCTGGGGCTAGCAGATGGAGAAATGGATGTCCACACAGACAGCAGAGACAACCCAAGCCCTCCTGTCCCCCAGTGCAATCCCGTCAGGAGTGACTGGGTTACTTCTGGGCAGTGGTAACTCAGAGGCCAGGCCTCAGCCATGTCATTCTCTGCCTTGTTGTGCCCCTGATGTGTCAGCCGGGTGTCAGCCGGGTCAGTGGATCCTTTTTATTCTTTTATTTTGAGCCAGGGTCTCTCTGAGTTGCCCCGCAGGCTCAAACTCGCAGTCTTCCTGCTTCAGCCTCCCAGAGGGCAAGGATGACAGGCGTGCGTGCCACCACGCCTGCTGGGTTTTGTTCTGACTGTAACAATTCTCCCAGGGCTCTGTGGCCCCAGGTCTTTGAACATCCCGCCCAGGTCTCCATGGAAACAGTCTGTTCCCGCAGCCCGTGCCTCTCTGTCCCCGGCCTGACCTTGTCCAGCCTAGGGGAGGGACGATCCCGGGGACCCCTGACCCTCACCCAGGTCTGCCCCTCAGCCACCTGTGACCTTCAGCCCTTGTCTGGGAGCTGCAGCTGCCAAGGAGAATAATGTTCATAGCCGTTTTAGGGGCGCTGAGGATGCGGGACCCACACTTCCGTTCCCTGAATCCATACCGAAGGCGAAGCTCTGTTCTCTCTTCAGTCCTGCCCAGCAAAGAAGGGAACAGACTTTGCTTCCTGCAGGGGGGAGACATACAAGATCGTGGGAGGGATATGGGGTCCAGAGTTGGGTTCTGGGTTCAGATCTCCGAGCCCATGCTGTGTGACGTTGTACAGGTGACTTGGTTCTCTGGGCCCCAGCTCCTACCCTGAAGTAAATACTGGAATAGGACTTCAGCTTGCTACAGGGATGGGCAGGGAGCAGAGTGAATCTTCCTGGAGAACAAAGTATAAGGCGCCTCCCAGAACTCAGTCATCAAGTAAAGAATGTGCTGGGTGCAGTGACGCAGGCCTGTCATTCCAGCACTCTGGGAGGCTGAGGCAGGAAGATCACAAATTTGAGTTCAGCCTGGGCAACCTAGTGAGACCCTGTCTCAAAATATAAAATACAAAATGCGCTGGGATGTAACTGCATGCGAAGGCCCTGGGTTCCATCACAGTATCAAAGAAAATGTAATGCGTTTTTGTTTTTGTTTTTTTTAAAGCAGTTCTGGGCTTGGAACCAGGGCCTTGCACATGTTAGGCAAGGGCTCATGCTGAGCTGCACCTCAGCCCCTGATCACAGTATTTAAAGAAAAAGACCAAAACTAGAGCCAAGGGAGGCAGGCGTGGTGGCGCACGACTGTAATCCCAGCTCTCAGGGGGCCGAGGCAGGAGGATCGTTGCCAGTTCGAGACCAGCCTGGGCTACAAAGTGAGCTCAAGCCCAGCCTGAGCTGCATAGTGAGACCCTGCCTCAAAAAGACAAGACAAGACAAAAACAAAAACAAATAAAGCCAAAGGAAAATCTGTGATAAACAAAATGTCACCTTTTTTTTTTTCTTTGTCTTTTGAGACAAGGTCTTGCTATGTAGTCCAGGCTGGCCTCAAACTCAGGGCGATCCTCCTGCCTCAGCCTCCTGAGTGCTGGGGATTACAGGTGTGTGGCACCACACCCAGCAATGTCACCATTTTAAATAAAAAGGCAGCACTGGCTTGGCTGATGTTGCCTGCGAGCACTGTGGCTGATCCTACTATAAATTTAAATTTAAAATGAAAATAAGGAACATAAATACATTTTTTTTTAAATAAAGAAAGAAAAATTTGGAGCTGGGATTTAGCTCAGTGGCACA